CTCCTAGGCACATACCCAAAAGAAATGCAAGAATGTTGACACAAACACCAGAAAATAATGTTCACGGCAACACTGTCCATAATAGCCTGAAAGTGGAAACAGCCCCAGATGTTCATCAACTGCCAAATGGGTAAATAAAATGCAGTGCATTTGTAGGGTGGAATATTATCCAGCAATAGAAGGAAATAAAGTACGGACACAGGCTACAAAACGGATGAGCTTTCTGAAACCATCATGCTAACGTACAATCAACCCCATAGCAGAATCGTCTATACTTGCATACAACATCAAAACATGTGAAGGGACTTTCCTGTATTACTTTTCTGACAAATACAATTGATAAAATTACCCTAAAAGTTCTAGGAACTTAAGAAAAACACTCTTAAGTCAACGATCTGAATTCATTATTAGACAAGGACTAATGGACGTGCTTCCTTCATACCGATAATACAACAAAAATGACTGGGAAAAGTAAAGGTTTGACAAACACAGCTTTGCTTTGCCCTGTACCTGATGTGCACTGATTAAACTAGCCTGATATTTGAGAATATTACAGAATTCATTATAAAAAAATAATAACCCTAATTTATTATGCTAAATGTTAAGACTTAAATTTGGCAAGATAACTTTTCCCTTAATTAAAAAAAAAATTCTTAAACTAGCATTTACTAAATATCTAACATGCTGGACGGTTTACCTATGTGATTTCAATCTTTACAGTAATCCCATAAGATATGAGACAGTTAGGTAATCATGAACTAGGGTTGAAGACTAAAATCCTAGCTGAAGCAAGAATCTCAAAGTAGAGATTCTAAAACTCTGGCAATCTTCCCAAGATCAGAAAACCTACAGAGCTGAAATGGTGAACAGAATGAGTGACTCTAATGAATGCTACTTAAAAAGAAATCGGGCTTAGAGTGATCTACAGCACCTCACTGTCCACTGTTTCAATCTTATGTCCTCAGAGAGTAACTTAAAGCCAAAGAAGTCCCTCTTTCCTGCACACCACACCCAAACCACTCCTCACTCCCCAACACAGGGTTTCATTATGACCTTGTATTTTCATGGCAGAAAGTCCCAGTGGTATTACATAATGGTTGGGATACGAAAGATTTTGGTTAATATTCCAGCTGGTTTTAACTTTCCCCAAATTAAACAAACTGCGGTGAATGAAAGGTCTATGGCATCATCTTCAAGACCTTTTCAGGCCTCAGACTCATCAACGTAAGTTTTCACTGTTGCGTTATTCCACCTCCTCCCTAAATTGGTGGTGGTATTTTTGTTCTTACTATGGGGGCGGGGGAACGGCAAGTGGGGGGGGGGGGAGAGGCTACACAGCAACTCTCTAATTTGATTATAGCTACACAGTCAAAATTCGCTCCACTCTGCTGACCTTCAGTAACATTCAATATATTTAGACCACGTATCTATTGTTTTTTAATTTCTCCTTAAGTACAGCACTGAACAGACTTCTAATGTGAATCCAGCAAGACAGAAACCCGTCCCTGCTCACTTCCTCTTTACTCAGTCTCGCTGTGTCAAAGTCCCTTTTCAGTTCAGTCGCTCAGTCGTGTCCGACTCTTTGCAACTCCATGGACTGCAGCACGCCAGGCCTCCCTGTCCATCACCAACTCCCGGAGTCTACCCAAACTCGTGTCCATTGAGTCAGTGATGCCATCCAACCTGCCTTCAATATTTCCCAGCATCAGGGTCTTTTCCAGTGAGTCAGAGTCCCTTCACACAAGGTGAAACCCTGAGGTCCTCTCCCCGTCACCACTTAAAAGACTAAAAACACTAGCTCTGAAAGCTATGGAGAGTTTAACAAGGCAGGAACAGCCACATCAAGCACAGTAATTTTCAACTTTGTGTCAAAGATGCATTCCTCTTACATGTCAATTTAAAGTGTATCTTACTTGACAGCATGGTGGTCATGGTTTAGTTGCTAAGTTGTGTCCAACTCTTGGGACCCCATAGACCGTAGCCCACCAGGCTCTCTGTTCATCGGATTCCCCAGGCAAGAATACTGGAGTGGGCTTCTATTTCCTCCTCCGGCGGATCTTCCCCACCAGCCAGGGATGGAGCCAGGGTCTCCTGCATTGCAGGCATTTCTTTACTGTCTTGAGCCACAGGGGGAAGCTACTTGACAATATGGGACGTGAAAGTGAAGTCACTCAGTTGTGTCCGACTCTGCGACCCCATGGACTGTAGCCTGCCAGGCTCCTCCATCCATGGAGTTTTCCGGCCAAGAGTCTTGGAGTGGGTTGGCATTTCTTTCTCCAGGGATCTTCCCGACGCAGGGATCGAACCTGGGTCTCCCGCATTGCAGGCAGATGCTTTACCACCTGAGCCACCAGGGAAGCCCCTGACAGCATGGACCATACTAATCAAACTACCTAATCCTACGGAGATGGTAGGGAAACAGCCTCTGGCTTGTCACTGGAGGGTCTTCCTCTGGACCAAGGCATTTCATGTGACTCTCACAAAAGAGTGGCCGGAACCAGGGGTCTGGATTCTTGTCCTGCTCAAGTTACAGTAGTTAATTAACACTGTTTTAACAAGAGCAGTTCATGGGTTTTCATCAAATGTGACTGGAAGGTTTAAGAAATGAAGGGCGACTTTTCACAACAGTGATATTAGTCATGGCATTTCTGAGGCAGTTACATTCTCCGCAGGACAATCTGCCTGGTGAAATACATGAAGCACCACAGACAGAATTATTACCGCTCTTCACCCTGCTTGAGCAGAGCGAGCGGAAAGTCACCCCTGGGGTTCTTCCGCCTCCCTCTGAGCGCAGATGGCCTTGGAAAGGACTGGCTGGCTCAGCACCAACCAGTCTGCTCAGCAGCCCTCCATGAGACGGCCCCCCCCAGGCTCTCCCGGGTCGGGTGTGGTCTCGAGGCTGAGCCTGGCCAGGGCGTGTGGGCAGAAACAAGGTGCCCTGGGCCCTGGACTGCGTGCATGAGAACTCCCCACAGGAGCCTCCGTTTTCACCCCCAAGCTGACTTGGGGCGGCTGAACACAGCCATACAGGCAGGGGAAGAGCAATAAAAGAGAAGGAACCTGGGTTCCTAGTAACTGGAGGAAAACCAGCCATGGATCAGGGCTATGCGTGAGCAAGAAATAAACTTCTATCATACTGAGCCATTAAAAACCTAGGGTGTTCATTCCAGGAGCAGCTGACATGAGGTTAACTCATTCACTCGCTGACTCTAGAAGGACGTTAGACTGACTTGGGATTAGTGGCTCAGCAATCTACTCGGCACGCAGTAAAAATTCCACTGAGGAGCTAAGACTGAAAGGGACACTTCTGAATCACTGCTCCTGAACTTCCAGAGTTAGATATTAGCTGGTATATTCATCAGCAAAAATCTGTGAGGTTCTTCCACACTTTCTTTGCCAAAGCGACCACAATTCATGTTAAAATTACAACGCCTGCATACCACATGAAACCCAACTCTGGATTTACTACGAAACTATGTTGGAGTCATTTCTCAAAGGATAAGTGATAGTCAGCAGACAGAGTTCAAGGTGAGTCTCTTCAGTCATTAGTTTTTTCTTCTCAATAGAAATTTAACATTAAGAAGACCTTTGCCTTCCCGTGTGGAAGTCACGTGTGCCCTTCTCTTGGAACCATGAAAATAATAGAGCTTATTTACAGCACTTCCCCGTGCCCCGCTGAGACCCAAGCGGGATGCTCCCCCACGGCAACTGTCACTGCTACCCGCCTCCTTGCTTCCAACCTCAGTGGATACGTCCTCCACTGCAAGGTAATTTGAGATAAATAGAAATAAACCCAGACAATTAAGAAAGGAAATTAATACTCATTAAGTACCCACTACACAGCCAGATACCTTCATATACTCAATTCTATTTACTCTTGGCCACAATGAGGTGTATACCATGATTTTCCATTTTACAAACGAGGAAGCAGGGAAGTTTAAACGCAAAGTCCAGGACAACTGACTCCGAAACTTATTCTTCCCATTTCAAACTGCTGCACTTGACCTCTGACATACTGCCACTCTTTAGGCAATGAAAAAAAGATAGCATCACCATCCAATATTTATTTCCTTTAAATACGCATTTCAGTGAATCAACGGCTCACTGATGGCCCATCCTCCCACTCATACCTTATTACCACATTTCCACAAAATCGAAGCCTGCACCAGCCCTCTGACGTGAGAGCAGGCTGACGGCTACAACACAGCAACCCGGCCTACGTCACCCGGGCGCTCCGCTGCCGACCCTCAGGGAGTTCTTTCTTCCTGCCGAGTTCTAGTCTCCACAAGGATTATTTCAGAAAGCTTTTCACCGACTCTTTTAAGATTTTTGAAACCCCATTTGAAAATGATGTATGTTAAGGAACCTGAAACACGAGGGACAATCTTAAACTTTCCATGCAGGACTAGGAAACCATCTTTAACAGAATTCTTTCCCACCTGAAGAGCTGTGTGAACGTTGAGGACTATTTGTAGTAGTATCCTATAACCACAACTTTAAGTAATTATTTATTAACTGAGAATTCTTCAAAGTCTAACGGAGATAAACTAGCTCACTAATCAACATTCTCAGTCCTCAGCAGTTTAAAAAAGAATTAAAAAGACACTAAATTAAAACGCATTTGATATGAAAATATCAATAGACTCATATTCTGAGGTTGGCCTGAGCCTTCATCACAAACCATGCTAAAATTAGTTGATGAGTGGTCGTCATTATACTAGCTTAAAAAAAAAATGCACTTTTGATGACAAGGTCTTACTCAGAAACGCTTTCTTATTTGAAATGGAATTTCAACATCAAACACTTTCTACTGAAAATACATTTCCGTCAGTGACATTTAAGATGAGAGGACCATCGGGGCCAGGTCCTTCCGACTGCAAAGGTCGGGACACTTTCTCCCCTGAGACGCCCCGACGCGCGCCCCCCCCCCCCCCCCCGCAGCTCAGGCCTCGGCCGGGCGCGGCCCGACGGAGACACGCGTTTGCGTCTTTGAGCCTTACCTTCAGGTAGGACCCATAATATTTGGTAACGTAGGGGCTGTCGCACTGGCTCAGCACTGTGATCTCCTGCTGAATGTCCTCAATCTCATCCTCTGCCTCCTCCAGGTCAATGATTTTTATGGCGACCACTTTCTGAGTCCGATTGTCAATGCCTTTGAACACCTCGCCGAAAGAGCCCTTTCCGATTTTCTCCAGTTTGGTAAAAAGCTCTTCTGGATCAGCTTTTAGGTTCTGCAGGAGAGAAGGAAAAGGGAAACCTCAGTAAGTCACAGGGGTGCTTGGATAACGTCTGTGTATTAACAACGTCCAGACCATGGTCTTTCTAAGGACGGATTCGTTTTCCTTAATAATCAGGCTGGTGGTGATCACAGGTCTTCACACTCAGGACACACACATTTCTCAATCTCACCTGCGTGTGCAAGTTACACGATCAAACGCAGCAAATGTGCAAACAGGAACAGTGACCCAGCTCGATTACAGAAACTGAGGAAGGCTCCAGCTTTTGTATAAATAAATATCAAACCACTTATTTGAACATAACAGATATATGGATTTATTGAAAAATCACTCGTGTCTAACCAAAAATTCTACTTTTCTCCCTACACCCCACCCCAACTTTTTAAATTTGGGTAGGTATACACTGAAACATAGGTTAATCAGCAACATCATATAACAGAGAAAAAGACATATACCCTGGCTTGTTTCAGAGCAGGCCGTGTCCAGTAAACACAGCCCCATGCATCTGCACTTAACTGCTGCTGCCTTAGCCTAAATATTTAACCGGATCCCAGGAAACAATAAGGAAGTGTTTTCTTTTGTCAGGTAAACGTCATACCCTTGAAATGGCTTCTGAAGGCTCGTAACCAGCAATCTGAACAGCTGAAAAACACATATCACCTACGCCTCGTAAGGTTGAACTCTAAGGACGCCAGCGCCCACCCTAACGGCTCCCTTGACCAGAGAGACGGGTGAGCAGCCGAGTTCTCCGTGGGCCGCACCTGTCACCCCCCAGGAGGGAGTGAGAGGTGACTCTGACACGCGGAGAGCCAGGGGTCTTTCCCGTCTTAGGGATCATTCCCACCTTAACCTCGAGGAGCCGCTCAGGCTGCACCCTACAGACCGGCCTTCCCTGTGAAACAGTGGGGAGGAGGGCTGAGAGGAGGAGCAAGAACAGCTGGACCCACAGAAAGTAAGGGGTCAGACAGAGCCGGCAGTGCGGGTGGCTCTGGGTTAACCGGGCCCTCCCACCAACCCGCCGTCCTGGGGGACCCCATGGAGCTGCCCCCAGCAGGGCTCCCAAGGGCCTTCGAGTCCACCCTCCGCTGCGCCGGGATGTGGCTTCAACCACGAGCCCCTCCTCCGCCTGCCGCCACCGCCCCCCCCGCCCCGCCCCTGCCTCCGTCTTGGGCAACACACTCAGGTGTCTCCCGCTGAAAAACCACCGCCACCGTGCTTCAGGGCGCCGTCTCCCCAGCAAGTTCCCGGAGAGTCATCAGAGCCACCAGCACCCGCGGCCCCAACATCACAGGCCGGCTCTGGCATCAGTTCCTCCACAAGGACGCCCCGCCCCGCTCTGCTCCCCACGGGTCCTCTGCTAGCCTCCCTGGCTCCAGAAGCCTCTTCAGGCGCAGGGCCGCCATCCCGGGCGGCCCCCAGGCTCCACACTTGGCCTCCTGCTCATTCTCTCCTCCTCCTCCCAGGATTAGGATCCATGCTCCCCAAACCTGGCCGGTACCTGGGACACTCAGAGATCCCCGAACACTCTCACAGTCATGGGCAGGGGAGGGGATGAGGAGGAGGCTGTGTGATCTCCATATTTATCTTGTGTGTATCTGGTAACTTTCAAACTGCTGGCTGCAATCCTGCCTTTGGAGCTATGCCTCCCAGATCAACTGCTGGCTGATACCTCCTCCCCTGAGCCTGTAGACTGTCACAATCATGCCTCCAGCTTCGAAACGATCCCTCCCCGAGCCCGGGCCCCTCCTGCACTGTGCCTGCTGCTCCCCTCGAGCCCCAGCTGGCCTTGGGATTTCCTGCAACACTGGGCTAGGTTAAGCCTGTGGCCCTGCAGCTGCACCTCCATCGGCCCCTCAGGAGGCCTGGGCTGGCTGCCGGCAGGGAGAACCCAGGCCCGGGTCAGACAGCCGGCCGACTGAAGGCACAGGGAGGGATGCCCAGTGTCCTCGCTGCCCGACCCGGGCCAGGCCAGCAGCTCTCCCGCCGACCACGGGCAGCAAGCGGGCCCGAGCGAGCCCTGTGGAAAAGCCCCAGGGCAACCCGAGGAATCGGGAGAAACACTCAATCACTGTGTGCTTCAGGCACCAAGTTCTGGGGTGATGTGTCGCCCAACAGATAACGGAATCAACAGAGATCGCTGACCACTGCCAGACAAAAGTGTCCATTCCTGAGGACAGGGTCGAGACAGACAGACTTTCTGTACTCGGGAAGGGAGTGTGTCATTTCAATAAACTGCCCCTTTCCCATGTGCTGGGTTTAAAACCACGTAGGAAAAAACAGCTGCTTTCACTACTGCCTTGACCCTCCCCCCTGAGGCCCTTTCCCAAGCATCCGCACCCATAAAGCCAGTGCAGGTCTCGCACCTGCTCAAGTGTGGCGCGGCACTCCACACTCTGCCATTGGGCCACCAGCCATAAACTGAACCAAAACCCACCCCTGGCAAGAAGGGAGCCACAGACTCCCCTGGTGGTGCAGCAGATGGGAACACCTGCTAACCCAGGAGACACAGGCTCCATCTCTGGCCCGGGAAGCTTGCACCTGCCCCAGAGCAACTAAGCCTGTGGGCCACAACTACGGCGCCTGTGCTCGATACCCCTGGGGCCACCAGTGCTGAGCCTGCACACCACAACTGCTGAAGCCCGCGAGCTTGGAGCCTGTGCTTTGCAATGAGATGCCACCGCAATCGAGAAGCCGGTGCGAGAGTGCCTCTTTCCACAACCAGAGAAAGCCTGAGTGCAGCAGCAGAGACCCAGTGCCACCGAAAAATAAACACATTTTTAAAAAGAAGAAGGGAGCCATCTGTCAAGATGGTGACGGCAGAGCCCTGAACAAACAAGGGTCCCCGCCCTTCGGCTGTTCTCGCACAAGACCGTCACCAAGCGCCGCAGCGTGGTCAGGAAATCAAAGCCAGAGATGACCTAGTGCACAAAGGAACGTCAGGATTCTGCCGCCAGAATCTGCTCTCCGAGGACAGGAGATCTCCTGGGAAGGAGCGGTGTCACCTGCCGACCGTCTCGACAATTCTCTTTTCAGGGACGTCTAAGCTGAACCAAGCGCCGGTCATCACCGGCGGTTAGAAAGGCCTGCGCTTCGCCCCACCCGTCCCCCACGCGCCTGAAAGGCGACCAGCTCCCAGGCGGGGGTCAGGACGCACAAAGGCTCGGCCTCCTCTGAGCAGGGGGAAGCCAGGACCCTTCCCCACCGTTCCCCTCTCGTAGGGCAACGGGCTGGGGGACTTGGGCAGAGACCAGGTGGGGGGGGAGGGGGATGCTGCCTGCACACCCCGCTCTTCAGGTTCCAAACCAGTCACTAAAGAACATCACTCCAATGCCCAGTGGAACTTTCCCAGTCCCGCAGCTGAGCCAGGAGATCATCACTCTATGGCCGAGGGCGTGTGAGTCCCACAAACTCGCTCACTAACCTATGTGACCCCACCGAGCTACCTGCCCCCTGGGTCTCTGTTTCCCCTCTGAGGGACGGACTAGAGAGAGAAATAACAGAATCACGTGCACCTAAGAGCGGGGATCTGGTACCCACCAACCGAGGGATGCGTCTGTAAGAGACGGCACTCCCATACTGATGTCTCCTCTCTGCTCGCACCTCTCCACATCCCTCAAAACCTTCCCCACCTGGGTCAGGAAACAGCCCAACATCCTATCTGGGGGAGCCTGGAGGTTATGTGAAAACTTGGAGGAGATGACACTGGCTTATCCTAATTGTTATGGCTTCAGTCTTTTCCATCACCCTCCCCATCACGGCAACTCCAAGCCATCTGTCTCTGCAAACCTTGGTCAGTGAAATTCTGAGCCTTTCTACCCACTCACACTTTGTCTTGTTTAACTTCAAGATTTAGAAAAAACCAGGGCATTCATTACATGTCCTAAGGTCAGGATCCTTGAAACCAACCAAACTATGGAGACGCTGCGGCTCCCCCAAGGTACGGGGTCCAGGCACAGGTCTGGGTTTTGCAAAGGCTCCCACATCCCTTCCCCATCAAGCTCAGGAAAGCCTGGCTCAGGATCGCAGAAGAGCCAAAACCAAGGCAACGTGCCCAAGCAATCTGGGGTCACCAGTTCCGCAGATGTTTCTCATGAACTATGACATGCAAGTGCTGGGGCTACCGGCTACCCCAAAGCCTGGGATCTCCCGGAAGCAGGACGTGAACAGGCACGAGCCCAGGAGAAGTGGCCGTCACCACACAGGCGGCACAGGGAGGGGTCCGGTCCCCGAACTTGAGGATTCCGATCCCCCTGAGAAAAGAAAGCCCAGGGTGCGATGCCTGCTCCCCACCCCCCACCAGAGCGCCCCGTTAGAACTCTGGCCTCTACGGTCATTCAGCCCATTTCGTGACCCATCGAGAGAACTCATTAAAACACTTCCATGATGACTTAAGTATTTTATATTTTTTAAACCTGAACAGCTATTACTGTGTTCTTTTGATCACTTCTGGCGATGAAAAAATGCATCCGGCATCACTAATCAACCTTCAAAGGCCCTCAGCTTCAGACGTATTACTTGTACGATTGTTTGCACGGCACCACTCTGGGCTGAAGCTAAGCTGCAGGAAACGAAAAGGGAAGGGTCTAGGTTTGCTGTGCTCCAATACCTGCACCTTATCACATCACCATCCCCAAAGCAACAGACAAGAGGGCAGCGGGTCTGGACTAGGCGGGCCCCTTCCTTCTTCTGAACTTGGTAAGCATCCCGAGTGAAGGACCGAACTCTCCTCCTGGAGCCCAACTTGGCCTCAGAACCCCGCTCTCCCCACCTCCCCAAGGCACCCAGGCGGGCGCTACAGGCCAGCCGTTTCCCACGACCTCATCCTTCCATGTCAGTTTCCCCGTGGGTCCCATTTTTAGCAGTGTCACCATCTGTTATTCCCAAAGCTGGAAACCCCTGCACCGCCATTCCTATCTTACGCCCACCAACCAAAACTGTCCCTGCGTGCGGTCCCCCGACCACGCCAGGCTCACCCACAGCGGCTACACCCCCAG